TAATTCATAGAGATTATTGAACATAGGAGAATAAATTATAATGCATGGTGGTGATAAAAAATATAATAAAAGACAGTTTTTGATAACTAAAAAAATAATAATTTGGGTTAGAAGTTGATGGAGTTAAGTATTTAAGTTAAAATTAGGGAAAACTTATTTTGAGTAAACTAAAATAAGATTTGGGAGAAAAATTATGTCAGAGATTAAGACAGAAAAGTGATTTATACTTGAAGAGAATGAAAAAAAAAAAGTGAAATGAACTCACAATACTGAATAGGTCAAAAAGTAACAATTCTAAATGTACTAAAAGAATAATCGAAAGAGAAAAGTGTTTAAACAAATAAAAAACAGAAAACAGGTTGTTTTACATATGTGAAGGAATAATTAAAAGTAAAAAAGATTAAGGACTAAAGATGAATAATCAGATCAGATAGAGAGGAACCTATAAAGAACTCCAGTGATTTTTCAGTCAACTTGTAGAAAATTACAACAAAAGTTTATGAATAACCAGTTTGATGTGAGAGCAGGAAGGAATTGGAGCTGAAAATGCTGAAAAGTGAAAAATGGTAATAATGTAAAATGCAAAATAAGAAATGGCTCAGAAATAAGAAATTATTAAGGGTAAGTGTCAAATTTTAATAATGGTTATCAGTCAGGACATAGAGGTAGACAAAATTAGCCAGCATAGGGAGGATTAATTAAAATTAAACCAGATGCAGGTCTGCTATGCTGGAATAGGCATAATTGAAACTTTTGAGAACATAGCAATAAGAGAAACACTTAGATATGTTATGGCATTTCTAATTAAAGTCAATTTCAATTCGATTGTGATTGTGTAGGTGACTAATAAAATGAATTTTATTTTAATTTGATTAAAATTTAATTTTTGATGATGGCATTAGTCAAAACAGGCAAAATTAGATGTTGTAAAGTTTATGACTTAAGAACAATCAGTGATAGAGAATTTCTCAGCAGAGGTTCATAACACACACTGTATTTAAATGTTTTCCTTTGGAGGTCAAATATTTTAAAGTAATTGATTTCTGTTCAGGTAATTATCAGAGGAGGGTAGACACTTGGTTACACTTAAAGTAAATAGGCTGATTTACATAGTTACATACATTAGAATGCATAAAAGGATTTAGAATATTTCGTGATGGATATTGTAATGTGTAGGATTTAGTTATCTGCAAGTAAGCTGATAAATAAGAAATTGATTTTACATGAAAGAAAATAAGGTAGCAGGTATAACACTAGTATAGAGTCACAACATCAATTAGATGATAGTGCAAATTAAACAACATATTGGTCTCCATGAACAATATATGTAGTATTAGAGATGAAAGAAAAAGACAAATAAGATTTATGTAATACATACAAAGAACAGATTGTTGAGGCAACAGCATTTTAATAGATTGGCATTTGAGATGTACATGGTTTGAATCAAGGGTGAAGTGGTAAAGAAAATTGAGCACCAAGGAAAATGATCGCCTTTTTGAATGCAGTGATTAGTGAATTGTTGTCCACATGTGACATTTGTGCAAAGTAGAATGTGAGTAAAAGATCAGCAATAGGCCTAAGGGGATATTCAAGAATTTGATTGTGGGTGTTGTGATATAATAAAGCTAGCTTAGGACAAGAGATACAAGCTTTTGGGCATGACAGTTGTGGTAGATGAGTGAAGGTAATTTCATTAGCAAAGCAGGGAAGAAGAAACAGTTATTACATTTAAGACAAGAGAAGTCTCAGATTTGCAATACCTTCAGAAATAAGTTTAATGTGTCTGCATTTAAAAATAAATTAGAGTAATTAAAGTAAATTAAAGTAAATAAAGGTAATTAAGGAGATAAATAAGTGGATATATGATTCAGTGAATAGATAAATAAATGAATTGATAAAGTATTGGAAATAAAGAAAATTGAGAAATTACACATAATTGTAAGGAATGATTGAAAGAGCTAAAGATGATTCATCAAGGCCTAGTTTAACAAGATGTGTTAAAATACTATACCTTTTGCATTAATAAGTGATTGCATGAAAACTGACAGAAACAAGCAACTAACATTGCATGAAATACTATTGGGTCGACCCTTGCATGTAATCATGTATTTAACCTTGTGGAATGTTTGGAGAACATTTCTAATGTATTGGAAAGAAGTTTGGTCTTTTATGAGAAAACTAACTGCCATGTGCAAAGCAATATCTGTACAGGAAACCAGAAAGGACCAAAAGCAGAAGATTAATTCGGTGATCGAGTATATCTGAGGTGCTTTGGAGAAAGTGGAGGGAAGTCAGGAGAAAAGGACCTTATGCCAACATTGCCAAGGGGGATGCCATCAACTGGGTACCATCGGGACCACAGCACAAGACAGCCAAAGGAAAAAGCTCCAACAAGAGAAAGTTAACGGGAAACAGAGGAGGCAGAAAATCCCAAAGCTCAAACCAACGAATTGCAAAGTGTGGCAGAAGCAGTTCATCAGAACAGTTAAAAGAGTAATTCTGATTATATACCTGAGTGAGAAATACAGAAGGTGCCACAAATTCAAGTGATGATAATCACCACAACTTCAGGTTATAAACTGTCAACATAAAGTCTTTAGCAACACTTTTTAAGGCTAGAACGAAACAAAGAATGCTCGCAAGTATGTGCCAGATTTAGGGTCAAAAAGATGAACTAGTGCTAAAAATTTTTATAGTTTAGATAAAGAAGAGGATGATGAAGAGGATCCATGCCTTGGGTGCTAAGTGCTAGTAACCTCTACCCCAAAACGGCGGCTCTCTACGATACGCAAAGTATCTGGGCTGAAGATCAACGTACTCTACGGATTGTGTGTGGATGTTAGATTAGAATATTGTGTTGTGACCCTAGATTGGGAGATTGTGCATGTTTATTTTTTGTTTTAGTTTTATTCTTTACTGTATGTTAAATAATCATGACCCCCAGAAGCAAATAGATAACTAATTGTATGCTTAAAATACTACTTTTATGATGATATCAACAAAATAGAATCAAGTCTTTTACTGTGTCCTCGTCAGAACAGGACACAGAGGTTTGGCGTGATTCTATTCCAAAGTGCAATTACATGATTTGGTTATTTGTAATAATACTGTGACATATATTTGTCATTAGGTAATATGGCTGAGGGCTAGATCATGAAGTTGCACTATGGGCCAAAAGCAAGAATATTAAGACTTAAAGTCTTAAGAGGAGGGATTGAGGTGGATCTTGTGCTTTTTAAAGTGTGAAGTTAATATATATATTCAAAGTGTATGTATATAATCTGCTTGTAGACTTGCATACCATTAGAAGAATTACCATTTCACAAGAACTGGATAAGTTATATAGTTACCAGGTTTGGGTCAGGGGTTAACCTAGGTGGAAATTGAGGTCAGGGGTTAACCTAGGTGGAATGTGTGTGATAAATGTAGAACTAAGACAAAAACAGATGACAGAGGTGGAATTTGGAGTCAAGGGTTAAACCAGGAGGGATCTTGTGTGACATATGTACAACAAAGGAAAAAAACAGACTATTTAAACGAGCCAGAACCTGAGTGAGACAGAATTTTTCAGACAGAGATGCTACTGGGGGTCTCCTGAAAGTTCTCCTTTGTTGTCGACAATAAAGTATATTCTTCTGATATTCATAACCTCCAGACTGAGTTTGATTTAGTAAGAGAAAAACCAAGAAAACCACCACAAGGGCGGTAAGGCGCCATTCCTTTTCTCGCTTACCAGCTGATTGTTTACCTTTGTATGGACGCTCTCCCGCTGTAACCAGTTTGACCAGTTAGCTCGCCATGTACGTTGGTGGAATTGAGACGTAAAGAGGAGTTGACTATTACGACGGAGTTTGAGTCTGGTGAAGGACGGTTCCAGAAAGCAGCTAAGACAGAAACAGAATCCAAAGAATAAAATTAGCAAATAAATAACAGGGTGAGAATGTGGTAAAATTTGATAACGTGGTAAAAATTAGGCGAGGGCTGTTCTTTTTCTGGATTGCTTTTTAAAATTGTCACTTGGGTTTAGGGAAGTTGGTGGGCGGGTCAATTGGTGCTTTTGAAAACACTATTGGTTGGGTTTAGGGAAGGAGGATGGTGGTTCAGTCGATCGGTCGGTCAGTCAGTCAGTCAGTCATTCAGTAAGTCAGTGAGAAAATCAACAGTGGCCTCTGGTGTATTTACACGAGAACAACAGGCGCACATGGCACTCGCGAAAGAAATTTGCCTCTGGTGGATTTGCAAAAACAAAAACTGCAAAAAAAAATATAGCTCCTGGGACATATTTGGTGCTCTCCAGATATGTATATAGCAGTACGTTTTCAGAATAAGCCTGGTTTGTATGTACTATACAATAAACATAATGGACTTATTTGCTGCCTTTAAATAACCACAGACCTACAATGAGAAATAAATACCTTATTTACAGTAAGGTAAAGGAAAGTCCATAATTAGAGTTCACATGTACATAGTCAGTATCATATAAATATAATTTAGTTTTTTAAAAATATTTGGCCAAGAAACATCAAAAGGCAAAAACAGCAACTTAACAATGTCACACATAATGACATTCCCTTTAGCTCATAGGTCTCAAACTCAATTCCTGGAGGGCCGCAGCTCTGCACAGTTTTGCTCCAACCCTAATCAAACACAGCTGAGCCAACTAATCAAGGTGTACTAGAGACTATTGAGCTAAACTGTGCAGAGCTGTGGCCCTCCAGGAACTGAGTTTGAGACCATTGTTTTAACTGAAGCTGCTATGAACAATGCGCAATTGACTGCATATTAAACATACGTAAACGTAATTTATTTAGGAGTGTCTGCAAATAATATGGAACAGAACTTTCATTTGCTTTCATCAAGGCAAGTCAGCATCTTTAGCTAGCAAAAGAACGACTGTGAAGCAGTAACAACAAGCGCACAAAAAATACAGTGAAGAACTCGAACATCTCAGTGTCTTTTTGTTTACCAAAGTACAGAAAGTCGTATTTCTGTAAGATTCTCTGAACAGTAGAAAACTATGAATTTATAAAACAATAAAATGAGCGTCTTTACATATATTTGTTGACATTTTTTATATTAAGAAAAAGAAAACTACATCAACCTGTTTCCATACTGAGGCAATAAGCTTATCAATTCCAGTCCGTTTTTTCAATTGACTTCAGTTTGTGTGATATTAGACTCTTTTTTTCTTCTTCTTCGGATCTTCCAGCAGAAGTGATTTAGTCCTACACCAGAGAGCCGGCTTGGTTTTGTGCTGGCACCATAATGGGCACCCCTCCCATGCGGGAGATATTGGCAGCAGTTACGGTGGTGGGAAGGACAGGCGGACGGGGAATCTGAGGCTGGGCAGGGGCTGTCCGGGGCATGGAGGTGTGCTGGGAGCCTCCATTGTTACTAGGGGGTCCAAATGGCCCACGGGTCGGGGCTGGGTTGGTGTTGTATCCTGGCAATGAGCGCTCCAGGGTGGCATCGACTGGAGGTTGCGAACGGTATCCGGCTGTGCTGCCTGTGGCTGTAATAATGGACGCGGTGTCAGAGTGAGGGTAATGATGGTGGTTGTGGGCATCTCGTGGGTAAGAGCTGGTGTGAATGGAGGACAGGGTGCCGTTTTTAGAGATGATGTCAGAGCCTGTTCCACTCTTGGCCCACGAGACGCGTTTGGGAGCCTGAGCATCCTCCCTGTAACACATAAAAACACTTAGTGCCCACATAAATCATAAATAATTGATTCAGTCAATTAATGATAATCGTCATACTTGATGTCATTGGCCAGATCCTCCTCGGTGTCTTTCCGTCTCGTCCACATGAAGATGAGGAAGATAACGATCAGGATGAGAGCCACTATACAGCCGAATGTAACGCCAGCGATCATTCCGGCATTTGTCGCTGTGCAAAAGGAACAGACAAAGTTAGTGTTTACCACATTTCTTTTTTTAAATCTTAAAATTAATCTCAATCTTTTCATCTTAATTAAAACCCCAAATGTGTTGCAGAAAAAAGACAGACTTTGATATAGACTTTATAAAGTGTGACCTGCAGGTAGTAGTTTTTTAATCATGACTAGGTAGATAAAGGATATACCTATATATATATATATTCATTCATTAATTTTCTTTTCGGCTTAGTCCCTTTATTAATCTGGAGTCGCGACAGCGGAATGAACCGGCAACTTTTTCAGCACATGTTTTACGCAGCGGATGCCCTTCCAACCCATCACTGGGAAACATCCACACACACTCATTCACACACATACACTATGGTAGATTTAGCCTACCCAATTCCCCTGTACCACATGTCTTTGGACTTGTGGGAAAAACCAGATCACTCGGAGGAAACCCACGCGAACACAGGGAGAACATGCAAACACCACATAGAAATGCCAACTGACCATATGGGGTATTTATTTCTTTTTTGTGTGTGTGTGATCAACGTTTTATTGACTTTAGAATAACAAAATAAAAGACATTCAAACAAACAAACAAACAAACAAACAAACAAACAAACAAACAAACAAACAAACAAACAAACAAACAAACAAACAAACAAACAGGGGAGGGGGAGCAACAGACATATCAACAATTTTCAATCTGAAAGAAGAGAGAAAAAAAAAAACTTTACATGGTCATTCCTTTATATTGTCCAAAATGCTGGAAGAAAATCATTGCCATGGATGAATGGTACTAGGTCTAGCATTATTAATTTGTGCTATTGTAGCTTCACAAGTCACTATTTTAAGGGGGCTATGAATCCAAAATGTTTTTGCACATGTGCGGAGAAAACCAATTTTGTATTATTGCCTTCTTTGCAGCTGTAAAACCAGCAAACAACATTCTCTTCTTTAGTGTACTTGTACAGAAATTAGTATCATCATTGAGAAGACATAAACCTGAATTAGACACATAATCAACTTGTAGTAAAAAAAGGACAAAACAGAAATTACATGAGACCAAAGGTCGACAACAATTGGACATTCCCAAAACATATGAAGAAAATTACCTGAGGATACAGTGTTACAGATATGACAGCTGTAGTGAGACTGCAGTTTCATTTTAAATCTCTTATAAGGAGCTATGTATGCTCTATGTATAACTTTGAAATGGACATGGTATTTATTTCTCATTTATTTCTCAACACCTATTGTGTGTGGTTCCTTGAACAGATTAAAAGTGTTCAAAACAGGCATCAGTTCTTTTACAGCATTGATTTCTGGATTATCAATGTGAATATTAAAATCTTCAGCAATACTAAAATAGTCCAATTCAGAGGTTACAATTGATACCAGCTCTGTAAAATCATCAAAAAAAGTTGGAGAATATTTTGGAGGTCTGTAGAAAATGATCAGTAAAATGCGGGGAGCACCCTTCAGTGCTATACTCAGATATTCAAAGGACAAATAGTCACCAAATGACACTTGTTTATACTCATAGACATCTTTAAACAGGGCAGCGATGCCTCCACCTCTCCTATTAGCTCTGCAAACACTCAAAAATCAAAGTTTAAAGGAGCCGTTTCATTCAGGACCGCTGCGCTACAACTGTCATCTAGCCAAGTTTCATTTAAAAGCATAAAATCAAGGCAATTTGTGCTGATAAAATCATTGACTAAAAGTGACTTTTTGATGAGTGATCTGATGTTTAAAAGTGCTAACTTAACAGTTTTAGCTGTTTTCCCTACAGTAGTCTTAGATTTACATTTAATCGACACCAGATTTGAAAGATTTGCTATACGGCCTGAAGAACTCTTCAGTTTTTTGTCACGTAATACAACACATATCTGCGAAGAAAGCTACAGGCACACTGGGTTCCTGCTTGTTCTGTAAACATTTGATAAAGATAGGCTACTGTTATGTAAGCAGGCCCCTGACGCACACCACTGAGAGTTGTTTTGTTCACCAGCTGAGGATGGAGCGTTGTTTGGGCCCTGGCTGTGTGGCAAAAGTCTGAGGGCTCTTCCGGGTGGGCTGAGAGGTGGTTGTGGAGCAGGCCGCTTTAGAGTGTAGCAATAGAGTGTGAAAGTTTAGCTCCAGCAGATACTCGTCCCTCCATCTTTAACATGTTTTTAACACAAAACATTGATCTGAGCTGTAATAATTTTTAGCTCCTTAGTTAAGCAAAGCTGACAGAAACAAAAAAGCGGCCTACACTAACCTACATGCTTATTTTTCAGGCACAAGATGGCGACAAACCACCAAGAACAACAGCATGAACGATGAGCAACACTAACCTACATGGTTATTTTACAGTCACCAGATGGCGACAAACAGCCAAGTACAACAGTGTGAAAGATAAGCATATAAATATAATAAAGATAATTCGAAGTACCTGGATGAGCCTATATTTTTATTAGTTCATGGAATAACTGACCAATCAGAATCAAGTAAGGATCTTTTGCTAGCATATTGTTAGTGTGGCTACAATTTTTTAACAGGTTGCTAGTATGTTTAACAAATCGCTAACATGTTTAAAATTGTTTTTAGCATGTTTCTAACCTGTTTAGAAAGTTGTTAGCATGACAGAGTTTTGACAGAAGTGTAATGATAAAAAAACAGTACATACATGTGATGACCTCCAGGTTGATGTAGCAGGTCTCCTCTCCTGCAGAGTTGGTTGAAGTGCACACATATTTCCCTGACATGTTACTGCTTAGGTTGTTCAGTTTTAAAGTTCCTGCCGTTTCATCTGCAATAACACCAAAGCGTGAAGTTAAAGTCAAACTTACACGCTAATACAAATAACAACGCATTTTTTTAATATTAAACAGAGATCAGAGGGTAACAGTAGCTGATAATTCCACTGATGACTCTAAAATTACATAATGGTCGACAAATATATGGTTTTAAAGTTTAATCTCGGCTCAAACTGTTTCCCCGTCATGCTTAAAGGATTAGTTAGTCGAGGCAAAGATGAAAATCCTAAAATCATTTACTCACATTCATGCCGTTCAAAACACACATCACTTTATTCACTTTTGTTTTAAGCAGGAATTTATTATTTTGTTTTTGTTTTTTTCAATTGAAATTTTCAGAAAGGACTTGTTTTAAGACATCATAAATTGGCCAGTGCTGTATTCCAAATCTGAAGTCACATGGCTAATATAATGTTTTAGTGTGTTTTTCATATATAACTGTATGATATAAAAATCCCCATGCATTACAACATTACAATAAGGTGAGTGCATTTTAATTTGGGTGAAAAATTAAGTAGACATAAAAGTAGACAGACTCACTCAATGCAGGAGAGAAGAAGACCTCTGATGTGGGGCTGGTTTTGATCCACTTGTATTTGGGGGCCGGTTTACCCTCATTGGAGTTACAGGAAAGAGTAATGTTTGCTTTAAGGACAGGCTTTTCTTTAACCTTACACACCGGTATAGAAGGAGGTACTGAAAGAGACAGAATGGGTCATATTGTATGCATGTGTATTCATGATCATATTAACATCCAGATTGTAATGTTTTAGGACACCCACATTGAAATGATTGACACTTTCTATCCAAACTTTCTCTTTCTGTATACTTGATATCCATTTTTGGCTAAATGCTTTCAGTAAATTGTTACGTTATACAATTTTAATTTGGCCACATTCAACAAAGTCATCATATTCTTTTTATAGAAGTGTTGCCACGTACAACTATTATAAGCTTTTTTTGTATTTGCTTTATAAAGCAATACATTTTCTGGAGAAATTAAAGTGTTGTTGTTTTTTCCCCTGTAGCATGATCTGGAAACATGGATGAGTTTAGACTCACTGCCTTCCACTTCACTTTTAGACACACTTCCCATCATGCCCTAAGCACTTCCCCATTAGGGAAATGTATTGTAAAGTATGCTCCACTTTATCAAGGGAATGATTTATTCTAGGGTTATTTGGCAACACAAATTAGTCAACACTCATACTCCTTCCCCTATGGTTTTGTGCTGTTCTACCAAATCTGGCAACACAAATAACTGTTGGTTGACTGTGATTTCCTGTTGGCTTTTCTAGTATGATCTGGCAACATGAATGTGTCAAGACTCATACCCCTATACTTTGATTTCTTGCTGTTTTATCTACATGATTTGGCAACACAAAAAAGTCAACAAGTGTACCTCAATTTAATTAATTATAGTTTTTAAAACACCTAGCAACATAAAAGGGTTAATCAAACCTAGTTTACCTAATTTCTTATTGTTTTTTTTCCTAGTATGATCTGGCAACATGAATATATCAAGACTCGTACCCCTATTCTTTGATTTCTTGCTGTTTTATATAGTATCATTTGGCAACACAAATAAGTGAACAAGTGTACCTCAATTTAATTAATTACAGTTTTTAAAACACCTAGCAACATAAAAAGGTTAATCAAACATTTAAGTGTACCCCTTAAATTAATTATTTACAGTTTTTTTTTTAAATGTCTAGCAAAATAAAAGTGCCTACCTAGTTTACATAATTTCTTATTGTTTTTTTTTTTTTGTTTTTTTGCTGGTATGATCTGGCAACATGAATGTATGAAGACTCTTGCCCCTATTCTTTAATTTCTTGCTGTTTTATTTAGCATGATTTGGCAACACAAACAATTTAAAATGCACCTCATAAATGTAATTAAATCATTGTTTTTAAATGTCTAGCAAAATAAAAGAGTCAATCAAACCAAGTTTACCTAATTTCTTATTGTTGTTGATTTTTATTTTTTTATATATTTATTTTTTGCTAATAAGATCTGGCAACATGAATGTGCCAAGACTCGTAACCCATTCTTTGATTTCTTGCTGTTTTAGCTAGCATGATTTGGCAACACAAATAAGCAACATGTGTAACTCAATAATTTAATTAATTATTTTTTTAAAATCCCTAGCAACACAAAAAAGTCAATTAAACCTAGTTTACATAATTTCTTATAGTTTTTTTTTTTTTTTTTTTTTGCTAGTATGATCTGGCAACATTAATAATTCAACATTTGTACTATGATCCTTGTGACTTCTTGCTGTGTTTTTTCTAGCATGAACTGGCAACATTATTCAGTCACTTATAAAAAACTTATAATGTACCATTTTCCATGTTATTTCTAATATCATCACATGAAAAAGTCTTCCAATATGTCTTTAACAACCAGTTGCTCACTTCAGTTTATTTAACACTTCATAGAGTTAATTTGATTGTAAAATACATTTGTTACTTCCAAAACTAGCTCTAACTAACCAAAAACAGATCTAAAAGTAGATTATGTGATGAAGTGCATTTATGCATCTGAAGAATGTGTGTTTTATGACTTTGCAGTTGTTTGGCACAGTGTGGCAGTGAGCATTCACCTTTAACATTAAGGTTTAGTGTTCCAGTGAGTCCTGAGGCCCCGGGGATCATGACCTGGCACACGTACCGCCCTGAGTCTGATACTTTGGTGTTGTTAATGTACAGGGACAGGTTGGTGTTGGGCATATTGTGGAAAAAACCAACTCGACCAGCAAACTGTGAGGTGCCATGGCTGAAGTCTCCATTGACGAATGAGATGATCTGAAGAAAGACAGAGAGAGAGATCACAATTATAAATAAATGAGGAAGAAATATTTAAAAACAAGCTTGGTGAGATTTACCAACAAATAGGTATTAATATGCAATTAAAAGCGTATCATGGTTTCCACATAAATATTAAGAAATTTGACAATCACAATTATAGTAGAAAAATATCTTTAAAAAAATATTTAAAATTTAGATGTATTTACAGTATATAATAAACTATGAAAGAGTCATTTATTGATTAGTTAAAACAGTAAAATAATTTAAAAATACATTTCAATGTTATTTCTTTCACTGATGTAAATGCTGACTTCTTTTATATCATTCAGAAATAATTCTGGTTTGCTGATTTAGTGCTCAAGAAATGTTTTATTAGACTAGTTTTCATTAAGTATTAAGACCAGCCAGACAGAATCTGTGGACGTATTTATCTATTTCTGCTATTTTGTAAAAAAATCTGTTGATTTGTACGTAATGATTTGGGGAGGATAAAAACTAAAACTTAATATATGAAATAAAAAAAATAATACAGTACCTTATCAACTTTTCTTTAATGTTTACAAATCAAATCCAATTAGATACACTTTTTGGGTAAACAAAGCAAGTTTCACATATAATATATCTACTAAAAGACAGAGAATATTCCTTTACAAACTGTATTGAACTGTACTGTATTGAATTGTATAGTATATATGAAAATTTTCATAAAGGTTGCATGGTGGCGCAGTGGGTAGCATGTTCGACCTCACAGCAAGAAGGTCACTGGTTCAAGCCTTGGCTGGGTCAGTTGGTGTTTCTGTGTGGAGTTTGCAAGTTCTCCCCATGTGATCATCTCCCAGTGATTTGTTGCAGCTGGAAGGGCATTCGCTGCGTAAAATATATGCTGGATAAATTGGCGGTTCATTCCCCTGTGGCGATCCCAGATTAGGGACTAAGCCGAAAAGAAAATTAGTAATTTAAAAACTAATTAAATATAAATCTGCGTTCGCGTGGGTTTCTTCTGGGTGCTCCGGTTTCCCCCAAAAGTCCAAAGACATGTGGTACAGGTGAATTGGGTAGGCTAAATTGTCTTTAGATTAATAAAGGGACTAAGCTGAAAAGAAAATGAATAAATTAATGAATGATTGGATAAATATACATTTATACAGATTTACACAAGCAAATATATAGACTCGATGGGCTAAAAATCTGCTGATTTCTGTGCGTGCAAATTCTATGTGGGCCTAATAAGTAATAAAGTTATTAAGTAATATTCATCAAATGTTAAGCAGCAGAGCAATTCCATCCAAATGTCAACCTTGAAATGAAAAATGCCTCATAAAAGGCAAAAAATGTAAAATTAAAATTAAAAAAAATTGTCGTTATATAGAGACAACTCTTATCCTATTGATTAGCATTGTTTATTTTGTGTTGTGCAGTTTAATGTCTACATATTACTGTGCTGTAAATTTGCATACTTCTTTGGTCACATCCATAATGCACGCTTATTTCCCTCAATTAAAATATAAAACATGTTTACAGTTTGATATTTTTGATTCCTTAACTCAGTGGTTGGTTGTTTTGAAAAATATAAACAAGTGTTTCAATACACTGTACACATACTGTACATTTTCTGTGGATTTAAGTTTCAAGTTTTTACTGCAAATATCACATCCATAATCCTGGAATTGTTCTGCATATTAGAAATTTACAACAACAAATCCTACTTATGGGGCCAAAATATATAATACATTAAAAAGAAAAGAGTATTTTTTAAAGTACTGCAAAGATACAGTTAAAAACAAAAAGAAAAGTGAGTGATTTAAGGTCATTAATCTGTCAGCGGGGACTGGATTTCTCAGCGGACAGGTCTAAAAGACTCAAATCAGTTGATCCTTCAGTTAATCTCAACTGAAGAAAACGCAGGATAGAGGATTTTTGCAATCTGCAGATAATGCTTTCTTACAGAGTAATGAGATACCATGTGATGATGCAAAATGAAAGACAATTGCTGCCAAGAGTGGACTTTTTCAATCACAGTATTATACTAGCTCTTAAAATAAGATTTTCTAAGCTTGCAGGCAATATGAAATAGATGATAAATATTATAAAATAAAATGTGATTCTGTGATGACAAACCATACATCTGGGCATCCATTCTAGACTTAATTAAAAATACATAGGCTGTTTCCCATTTTTAGAAAGGTTTCTTAGAAAGCATGTTGACTTACTCATGGAGACAATGGAGAGTTTTCTTGATAAATAATGGAATGTTTGGGTCACACTTTATTTTAAGCTGCAATTGAAAAATTCTGGTGTAAACACCTCTTAAGTGCGATCTGAAATTTTCTTCTAAAATGAACTTTTCTCTCAGGATCTTTCAGGTTCAGTTTTATTAACATCTTTAAAAATGACTAAACATAAGTATATGAGTGATTTAGCTCAATAAATTTCTATTTTGTTTGCTTAATAATGAGACAGTTGTTGGGTTTAGGTATTGGATTAGAGATACACTAAATGACAAAAGTCTTGTTGCCTATCCAAGTTTTAGGAACAACAAATAATAACTTGACTTCTAGTTGATCATTTGGTATCAAAAGTGATTTATATGAAAGGCAAAGGCCTCTAGATTACGCTTATTTTAGCAAAATAAAATATGATCATGCCTTGATTTTTAATTATTTAGTTTGGACAGTAAAGTCTGACTTTGCTTAGACAAAAGTCTTGTCAATTAACATAAATATTGTACAGTACAGAATATAAAGTCATGGTGCAGTGGAAAAATAATGAATATTGTTTATGACTCCCAAGAGCTTGGAGGACTGCATCCATACATCTCTGCAATGACTCAAATCACTAGTCAATAAAGTCATCTGGAATGGCAAAGAAAGCGTTCTTGGAGGACTCTGGATACTGAAGTATGAGAAGGAGTGCTATCCTGCTGAAGAATTTGCCCTCTCCTGTGGTTTGTAATGTAATGGGCACCACAAATGTCTTGATACCTCAGGCTGTTGATGTTGCCATTCGCACGGCAGATCTCTCGCATGCCCCATACTGACTGTATGATTTTTCACCATGATTTTTCTAAACTTGACTGATTTCTGTGAGAATCTTGGGTCTATGTGGGTTCCAATAGGTCTTCTGCAGTATTTGTGATGACTGGGATGCAGTTCAACAGATGATTCATTTAAAAAATCTACCTTCTGCCACTTTTCCAAATGATCAACTAGAAGTCAAATTATTATTTGCTGCTCTTAAAACTGGGATGGACGATAAGACTTTAGTCAGGTAGTGTAGAATAGATAGATAGAGGTAGAATAAGATCACACAGAATATGTACAAGTATAAGTACAAATAAACAGCCAATATCTTAATAATAAGCCACTATTTAATAGTGAAAATTAGCACTTTAATTAAAGTGTTACTAATATTTGCTCACTACAACACTTACTTCTCACTAGAAATGACATAGAAAGTGGAGAAAATGTATAAAAAGTTTACATTTACATACAAAATGACAAAGTGGAGCTTCAGAATTCCAACTTTACAGTATTGATTGATATAAACTCCAACAGGGCTGTGCGTTATTATGATATATGATATTTATATAATGATTAAAATATTGGAAATGTGCATATTTGCTATATACAAATCAAAATGGTTGTGATAAATTTGTTAAATTTTCTTTACACAACTGCAAATACAATCTGAATACTTCTGTAAAAGTTAAAATAAAGAATAATTATTCACATTTATATCAATATTGTGCATGTTCATTTTCACACTATATTGATTATCAGCATATGTCTAAACATAACAATGATTTCAATATTCTTAAATTCCCTCCACAGTCCCCAAAAAGAGCACCTTTGGGATGTGCTATAATAATTTAGGAGCTTTTGACACCTTTTAAAAATAATATTAATAATAATTCACAATGATAAATTCATAATCCAAATCCTAACATGCACAGATGGTGTTAAACTTTCTGGCGTCTGCACAAAACTCATGAATGACTACAGTCCCATGGATAATACTGCTTCCAAATCTAATTTGCTCCTACATGACATTATCGGATTTCATTATAAATCTACGCTGAATCCTTTGGCTTCACGTGAGAAAAGCTTGTGATCATGAGAAGAGGGTTTATTCTGTGCGCACTCTTGACCTCTGAGAGTGACCGTTATATTACATCAGTGAGATCCACCCTAAAGACAGATAGCACTATGAATCATTCAAATAATTTTCAGATATTTATGAAATCTGATTGATGATGAGGTCAAATAAAATGCACACCACACAGGATACCGCATTGATTATCAACCACAACATGCCTAGTTAATGAATTATATTACTTCATAAAGTTTGTATTATGATTATTATCAATAGAGAAATACATGCATTTAAATTTTTTTCGGATATTTCCTCTGAAAAGTTATTACTATGAAGCTATACGGTTTGTTCGCATCAAGACTTACGGTTCAGAACAGACGTGACCCGCATTAATACATTTTTTTAAACTTGTGAATTAATCCTAAATTTGTAAAGATTGCAGAGAGATCGCCTCTCGGGTAATTCAAATCACGTGCATCAAAGCAAGACTGGGGATTTCCTGTTAAATATAATGATGACAGAAGTAGTCTTGATTAGCCTGCACTAATGCAAGATCGGGATCTCAACACCCACACAACAAATTATAAATGATGGTGATTGTTTATGGTAAATCACTGTCATATGCATTTAAATTGATGCTCAAAAATGAAAGTTGTAGGCAGCCATTACATTATTTAACCAATAGGTGGCGACAACCAGCCATCAAAAATATGACACTGAATAATTCTTCAAAAATGATCCATCTAGCAATAAAAGATTATGTTTTTTTGAGTGAATAACCGAGTCATTTATTGTAAATGAGACTAAAAATCCATATGGGTTGTACAAATTATACTGTTAGACGTATACATTTAGCCAGTGCTTAATTTGTGAATTGCGAGGTCCCAGAACAGATCGCGGTAACAGATCCAGCATGCTACCCGAGTATGTAGAGGTGTCGCGCATGAAAGTGGAGAACGGGGTGGGTGGTGGGATAGCAGAGGGGTGTCGTGGACGTAAGTTAAGAGCTGGGGCGGGGGTTGGTTTTAGCAGCAAAAAGAGGGTTGGGGAGTCGCGGAACAAACTGAAAGTGAACAGCGGATGAGGGAGGAGGGTGAAGAGGGGGATTGGTAAAATGAGGTGCAAATTAAGCCTTGCATTTAGTGTTATCAGCGTTATCATTGTTTTTACAACGATTTTCACAATAATTTTTCCCAGCACTGAATATTTTATTATTTAATTTTATTCAGCTGAGCAGACTATTTCTTAATTTTATTTTTAATATTTAAATAATTTTAAATGTTTTTGTAACAAATGGAAAGCAAATGACATTTGTTTCCTCCCCTTTTTGACTGATCCGAAAAAGGGTCTGATCTGTGACTATAAAAACATAACGGGGAACTCCAAATAACAGAAAGACAACACAATTAAATTAAATTCAAATTTGAAACTGAAAACATACCAATAAAACTAATAGACTATTATTGATAAAAACTATAGCTGCTTAATTAATCCATAAAATTACCTGATGCATATTTGAAGTGATATCACTGTATTTTATAACACTGCATGTCTCAACTACTCCACCAAAAAAACATTAAATTAATTCATAATAATTTTTTTCCTTCAACCCCAAATACCCTTTGCAATTATTTAGTACTAATAATTAATAAATTGCTTATTAGTTACTAAAGACTCAAATTATAATGCTAATAATAAGCAATTTGTACTTTTTTTTATAAGTTCATACATAGCAATATTTAATTTTACACAAAATTCTTATTTATTAGGTATTATTTAAATTTGTTCAGCAGTGTGGCAGTTTAATTCAAATCAAGCATAATTAATTTATATTTTCTAAACAAATTATCATTTTAAAGAGCATTTATCAAATAATCTGAGAAAAATAAAGTGTGTTATGAGTTAATAAAATGTATTATATTAAAAAGCAGAACTTATTTGTGTACATTTGTGCATGTTACACTGCTGGGCTGTCACTGCCACATACAAATTTACACTTTGCAAATATATAGTAATAAACAGTAAAAGGCAATCACCATTTCAGTGCTGGTAGCAGACTGCATGTAGTTCCAGACGACTGTGTTTTTCTGAAAGTCCGTACTCGAATATGACGCCTGCAGCACCACCATCTTCCCTTGGATCACATCCACATTTTCATAAGGCAACACAAGTTGGGCCAGCTCACCTGCACAGAGAAAAAAACAAACACAAAAATCTGATTAAAACCCTCCAAACACTAAATACTGACATTAAACTCGCTGACTGAAAGACCATGTGCTTTACGCAGTGGATGCCCTTCCAGCTGCAACCCAACACTGGGAAACACTCATACACTCTTGCATTCACACACATACACTATGGCCAATTTAGCTTATTCTTTGGACTGTGGGGGAAACTGGAGCACCTGAAGGAAACCCACGCAAACACGGGAAGAACATGCAAACTCTGCACAGAAATGCCAACTGACCCAGCTCAAACCAGTGACATTCTTGCTGTAAGTCGTGCTACACACTGCTCCACTAAGCTGCCTTTCATCTTAAGAAACATATTTCCTAAAAAAATATTCAATGTTGGTTAGATCACCTGCAAAGACAAAAAATATAGGCAACAAAATCGACACGTAACCTGTACACCTGTATTAAACCATTACACTCTAAAAAAAAAAAAAAAAAGGTTCCACTAAAGCCATTCATGTTGTCCCAACACAAATCGATTAAGTTAACGTAACGGACATAAATGGACTGAACATAAAACAATTAAGTTGTCCCAGAAAAAAACTTAAGAACTGTATTCTTTCAGCTCTTTTTAAATAAGCAGTTTGACCAAGCAGCAAAAATCACCTATTTTTGTGAAAAATCACAGACCACAAATCCAGATTCACTCCTTAAAAAGCCTTAAACTTAAGTTAAAAGCCGTGAAACAACTTACACTCCCCCAGCTGGAGGTACAGAAGCTGAATCCAGCCGTCCCGTTTGTTCTCCTGTTCCTCCAGTTTGTCCAAAACACTTCGACTCGGCTTTCGGAGAAAGCAATACAAACCTCACACAACGATTCTTAAAAGTGAATCTGCTTTTCAAATCCTCTGTCATTAGGACTTCGAAAAAAATAGATGACGTAACTGGCGAACATCTTGTTTTCGGATTAGCGAAAGGTATGAGTGAGAGCCTCGATGCTATGTGTACGTCCAATTCCCCTCCCTGAAGTGTAAAAGCTCTAATCCTCAACTAGAATTGGACATTTTCCTCTGCTTTATGTTGGGCTGGCTTGTCTTTAGCCCGATTACAAATGAGCAATGATAGATGGTGTAATTGCTTGCATTGACAATCGGTGAATAAAGCCGGTCAAATCAGAAATTTAGCCTATACTGTATGTGGGACAGGAGGATCAAACACTGAGTCGCATTATGAATGTATAAAGGAATTAATCTGCTTTCATGGAAAAAATCTTGATCAACATTTGATCTCTTGGGTCAAAGGGGAAAGCAGATTTTAGGGTTGGATCCCTTCCAGATTTTTTTCAAACACAGTGTCAGTTGTATTGTTTATCAAAAGAAGACAAATATAAATATTAATCCGGTGTGTTAGTTTTCCTCTCACCAATGTTTTTAGGCATTGAAAGAAACCAAAAGGCCACAGATGAAATGAACTGGCTCCATTTGGGCTGTAACTTGCACAATTAAATTAAGATTATTTATAAACAGAGATGGGCAGCATGGTGGCTCAGTGGTTAGCACTTAAAGCAAGGTCACTGGTTTGAGTCTCAGCTGGGTCAGTTGGCATTTCTGTGTGGAGTTTGCATGTTCTCCTAGTGTTCACGTGGGTTTCCTCTGGGTGCTCCGGTTTCCCCCACAGTCCATATGTATTGTAACCCTGCCGGTCCTGCTGCACACAACCTGCTCTGAGCTGGGATCGAACCGGCGACCTTCTGCATGACAATTGATTGCTCTAACAACGAGGCTAAAGACTGTGACCTCTAGCATCTGTCACTAGAGCACCAGAGGAGAGAAGTTTACCTGCAAAGCACTTACTAGTTGGCCTCCGTTACACATAGACATGCACTATAGGTGAATTTGATGAAGTAAATTGGCCTTAGTGTATGTGTGTGCATCTAAATCTGAGAGTGTGTGTGTGTTTCCCAACACTGGATTGCGGCTGATAAAATGCTGCGTTAAACATATGCCAGAATAGTTGGCAGTTCATTCTGCTGTAGCGACCTCTGATAAATTAGAAACTAAGCTGAAGAAAAATGAATGAATGAATAACCCAATATTTTTAAAGTGGTTTGTGGTACTTTCACTGTTATTTAACAACTAAGCAACCCTTAAACTGTCTTTTTCAACTTATAATATTTATTTTATTGATTTATATATTTATTATAACTTGGAATCATAAATGGATAGACCCATATGGCTTTTTTAATTAAGTAAAAATATTAATTTACATTTTGTTAATTTAGCTAAATTTACACAACTATTTTATTAAAGAAGATAATCAGTGACTGGTTTTTGTTTATGTGATTAACTTGCAATTAATTGACAACTACACTCCAAAAATATCATTATCATCTCAAATAATTGCAACTATCAAAACTAAATATTTATTTATGTATTTATTGCAATTTCACTACACTGCAATTTTGATGTAAAAGCATTATTGATAGGGCCAGACAAAATCTGCGGACGTTTTTTGCTATTTCTGTGGAGAATTTTGGTAAAAATCTGCGGATTTCTGCTGAATTATTTTGGGAGTATCATAACTAAAACCTTAATATATGAAATAAAAAAGTAAAACCTTTTTAACTTTTATTTAATGTTTAAAATGCAAATCCAATTAGATTCACTTTATATGGAAAAAAAAGCAAGTCTTTAATATAATATATCTACTAAAAGATAGAAAATATTACTCTACAAACTGCATTGTACACAAATCAGATGAAGATTTTTATTTTAGTCAATAATATTACTGTTATTAATTTAAAAACTGAATTAATATAGATTTACACACATTTACTCAAGTAAATAAACAGAATTATTGATGGGCTAAAAATCTGCGGAAATCTGCGTGTGCAGATTCCGTGTGGGCCTATTGATAACATACGCACACACATACAGTACACTAGAATTTAAATGTTTTGGGTCAAATTAAATCTATTTAATTTTAAACAAAACTAAAAGTATGAATAGATAAAATTGATTGAAAGTGAATATATATACTTCTTTTGATAGTGATATAATAAATCAATGTATATATTATATAACACACTTTTGTTGCCATACATGATTTATTGCGTTGAAATTTAGGGGAATAAATATAAATCTAATTTACGATCCATATGTAAAGTAATTTGACTAATAGAAAATGTGGGGTATTTGCAGCATACAAATCCTTTATTTTTTTAAATTAAAAATAGTTCAATGATTTGGTTAAGTTTAAAACAGCACAATTTATGTTTAAAGCTAGGAATAAACTACTTCCGAAATGTATACAAAAGTTTTTTGAAGAACGACAAGGGGGGTATAATCTGAGAGAAGAACTAAATTTTAGGAGGTTGAAAACAAGAACAACTTTAAAAAGTGTGTGTATGTCTGTACGTGGTGTAAAACTATGGAACAGTCTAGATCAGACTAAAACAACGTCAGGATATTAATCAATTTTTAAAAAACTGTATAAATATATATTAATAAAGGAATATAATGATGAAGGTGATTTAAAAAAGGATAAAAAGAGAAAAGTATGAAGAAATTTTAATTAATGGCTATTTGCAGTACTATGTTGTTGTTGTTGTTGTTTTTTCTTTTTTCTACTTGCAGTAATACATTTTTTTTCTTTTTTTTTCTTTGGGTCTATGTTACAAAATGAAAAGGTACAAATGCAATCAAACATATTATTTGTCAAAGATGCCACAAGGATCAAATATGTTTCATGTAAAAAGAAGAGATGAGTAAAAGAATAAATAAATTTAAGTAATAAACGAATGATGTATGTGGTAATGTGGGGTGGGAGAATAATAAGCTTATGCTTCATCCTGCTCCATTTTCGACCATGTTGAAATGTATTTCTTTTTGTTAATGATATTTTCTGTATGATATTTTTGTTCGAAAATAAATAAATCAAATCAAATCAAATATAAACATGTGAATGACTTCACGTTCAATTCAATTCCAAATCTGACCTCCGAAGACTACGTCAAATAATTCGGACTGCTGAGCGAATCACTAGTACAACCCACCCTACTCCCCAAGAGCTATACTTATCCAGAGCGAGCAGAAGGGCTGCCAAAATCACTCTGGACCCCTCACAGCCAGCACTTGGCCTCTTTGAACTGTTACCTTCTGGTCATTGATACAGAGCACTGTGCACCAGAACAGCCTTTGCCTTTCCTCAGGCAATCCATCTCATGAACACTTGATGATAATAATTATGAAACAAACATCCCGACCTGCTATACACTTTTTTTATACACATATTTAACAACATACTTTACATGATCATTTGCACATTACAGCTGCACATATAATGTTGTATAGTAATATACCTGTACATACACTTGTCAATTTGTACATTTGCATACACTACTTACTTCTATTTTTAAAATATATTTATTATCCGTTTCATGTGTCTGTAATTCTGTTGCAATGTAGAAGCTCTGCCACGAAAACAAATTCCTCGTATGAGTGAATATACCTGGCAATAAAGCTCTTTCTGATTCTGATTAACAAATGAAATGCTTAAATACCCAATTCCAGCTTTCTAGGTTTGACAACTAACAGTGTTTATTCATCATAACAAAAACTTCTCAAATGCTTTCAATAATCTGCATGCAAGGATACACACACAAAGCATGTTAAGCCTTAAGCAGCTTAAAAAGTAATGCTTAAAGACAAAAAAAAAACATGTTATCCATGGAGTGAGAAAAATAATTTGACCTCTGAAATTGTCCACAACTGCTCAGTAGAGGGCAGCAAAATACTAAACTCACTTGGATTCACTTCAACGCCACTTGGGATTTTTTTTTTACAATAAAATAAAATAATGTTTGATTAGTTAATAATTATTACAAATAAATAATATTAAATATAGTTAAGTTATGATACAAAAAAAGTTGAATAAAATAGTACTTCACCTCAATGACAAATATTTAAGTCTAACAAAATGTGTTTGGGCTGTTTAATCTGCACCAGCCAGC